GTTGAAGCCAGCGGAAGTGTCAGTCGCTGGGTGTTGTGGCAGGCACTTGTAACGATGACGTTAGTGTACTGTTTCAAGAAGGTAGTGGGAATACGGACGGTATCGTGGGTTGTTATTTTGCGGGAATGATAAAGGGAATAGAATGTTGGAATTTCAAAGGAAATGTGTTTAATGTTGTCAGTGGGAGGATAGTGTACTTTGATCATGGTTATTAGAACGTGGGTGAAGTGAGGACAGGTAAGTGTTGTACATTTGCGGGATTTCCAATAAATCATGGGTTTTATGTTATTAACTGCGGAGGATATTTTTAGTGCAGGAGGGAAAGGACGATAATCGTAGGACGATAATAAAGGACGATAATTTTCGATTTTCACCTTTCTTCTGACTAACAGAGGATAGACTGCTTCTGCGGGATCTAGCGAGAGGCATCATTTTTAATTGCTTGTTTCTACTTCTTTCATGGGCCGCTATTTCTGATTGCTGAAAATCCTGGAACACTAGGAGACTAATAGAGTGAGTATATTTGACTTCCTAGCCAATTCTGTAACGTCCTTTAGCGACATGGGGTCTGGAACAAAAAAACTAATTAAAGAAATTTATCTCTAAAGTCAAGCAGTTTTTTTTCCACGAGCGCCTTTCGACCCCATTTCGCGAGTACATAAAGCAAAGTAGTATTGCCTACCACAGAACATTTAAGAGCTGCATTAAAAATAACGTGCATGCACAGCGCTGCTTTTCTATTCTGAATTTGTAACCTCAACACTCTACAGAGTCAGTATCTATGACATATCCAGATCTCTTATTTTTATTCCCAATAAATATACAAACCCTGTCTTTTTTGCTTCCTAACCTGACACCTTTACTTTCATTTGTAGAAATTTAGTTAATAATAAAAAAATGTAAAATTAACAAGAGGTCTCCGTTAAAACACTTACTTTTTTAGCACTCTTCTATCACCAATTTCCTCAAATAAAGAACATAAGGATGGGATAAGATGTTAAGAGAAGTGATTGTTACCTGTCGCAACTTCTTAAAAATATGAACCATGCTAAGAAGTGAGTGTCGAGACTGCACGCAAAATGTCATCCTCACGATAAGAAATACTGCAATTTGACTTTCCTGTCTAGGAAGATCCTTAAAGGGAGAGCAGAAACATGAAAAGGTAGTTAGCTAGTTGTTCTTAGAATGTGGTTTTCTTCATCCGTTGTGAGTTCTTAGTTGTTTCTTGAATCCACTGTTCCAGCTAGGCAATTTTTTAAATAATTTTCTCTGTGTGCAGAATTTCCTTCTACTTCCAATTTTTTTATTTTAACCGGTTGTTAGAATTGCCATTCTCTTTCAGCCTACTTCTTCTTCAATATGTTTGTGTCATTTCAGAAGAACGACTTTTTTTAATTTGGTCTGAATTGTAATATCAACGTTTCTCAGCAACATGGCTAAATAATTTTGCTTGCCACTCTGAGGAGTGAATACAGTTGTAGATGCTGATGTCGTGTCGGCAACAGTAGTTGCATATAAAGGAGGTTCGTAATCGTTTACCGTTTTGTTTTTATCGTAAAGAATAAAGGCCAAACAAGGAATGAAAATTTTTGTCAAAATACTTGGAAACTAAAGTTAGATTTAAAATGCAGATCACTATCAAATGCCAAGCCGCTCATTCATTACAAATATTTGTAATTGTCAGGTATTGCGGTAAGAACACTATCACAAATATTTTCTTAAGTGACCGTTAAAGGGTTGTTTGCGAAGCTGTTTGAAATGGTTTATATTACTGCAGTAATTATTGATGACATCATGGAAGTATCGTAAATGCTATAATTTAGTCCAATAATTTCTAAACTTTAAAAATGACTGCAACGAATACCCGATGAATTTTAAAAATATGGCATCTTAGGTTTCTTTAAAATCAGTGGAGATATTTCTCGATTTATAACGACGAAAATGCGCTGATCTAATGTTCCAACGACAAAAAATTGCCCTTCAATTGGCACTTTAAAAGATGTACTAGTGACATTGCTCTCAGTCATCAATTCATCACAGTTTTCTGTGGGGGGACATTAGAATTTGTTTGATAACCTCTTAAATAAAGGTGTTGTCCACAACGCAAGCACCTTCTTTTTACCTTTACACCTTTCCACTAATTTTTAAAGTCTGCTAATGAGGAAGAAAACTCTTGAAAAAATATCATTCATGCTACTTAAACAACAGTAATTGTTTAAATTTTGCATAAATGCACAGTATATTGTCTGAATTATTCCAGAGTTCTTCTTTCGCTTCCTCCCTTCCTGTCGCTCTGGTCTCATCTAAAGAGAACAAGAATTACTTTATAACAATAAAGTTGAACAACAATTTAAATGTCACAAATTCGCCAAAGAATTATTGTTTGAGTGCTTAGTTTCAGTTATTGTTGTCTGCAACAGAGCTGGCCGAACTTAGAAAATGGAATAATAAAAGAGGCGAGGTTATACCGCTGGTGAACAGTTCAGATTGCCGTACAGTACCTTTGCATATCAACAGTTTTCTTCACAAAGCGGCCTCTACACTTTTGAACTTATTAAATTTGCATCAGCATTTTCGGATACCTTAAAAAATTTGAAAAAAACACTACTCCGGTATTTTTATGTTGCACTTTTTAAATAAGACCTTCTTCCTTTCCGCTTACAATTGTCATCATCACCATCTTTATTTTTGCCTTCCTTCCTTCCTTTCTCTGCGTTTTTGTTTCATCTTGTCTATTTTCTTCATGAAACAAAAAAATAACTCGGCAGTATAATATACCTGCAGTTGAAAAAAATAGGTCAAAGTGAAAAGTGGAATTTATCAAATAGAATGTCTCTTACCTTCTACACTACCAGAAAACAAAGCCTGTGGCGGCATTGACCTAAATATTTACATATGTTAAACGATACCATTCGACTCTCAGAAGAAAACTGAATTTGTACTGATCTATTTATTTTTTTCTTCTTTTTTTTCCATTTTAAAAAAATTATTACCTCGTTAATTTTGTAGCATTTGTAACTTTTCTAAAAATGGTCTCGTTTGATTCCTGCTGGTAACCCCAATTTGACGGCGAAGCTTCTGTTTTTGTAGTTGTTGTGGTTGCCATCGTCGTCATTCCGTTGAACACAGACACAGAGCACAGATGTACAATACGTCTAAGCAGACTACTGAGAGAAGGATGTAAAAAACCACACAAAAATGAACAAGCTCAAGGAAAAAAGGATATGTAGATTTCCATTCCACCATTTAATTTTATGCCTTTTCAGAATACAAAAACACAAAAATTATGAAGTTCTCCTTTTTAGCGAGAGCGGAAAAAATAATTTTTTTTCTGGATGGAAGGTGTTACGTCATGGAAAAAATAAAAATTCAGTAACCCACTGAGACCCAGGATGGACGCTTTTTCCAAAGTTGATGTGATTTTGGCGAAGTCGTCATTATCCACCCTTCGCCGTCACAAGGAAGAGCAAAAACAAAAAATGACTCTAGTAGACGCCAAGCGAAAAAGAGAACGTTAAACAAATTTGACAACAATTATGATAGATGTTGCAGGAAAAATATTAAAAAAACCAAGCAAAACAAAACGACAGTAAGGAAATTTCTTCTTTATTCTGTTTAGACAAAAAACCACCATTACATTTTTCAATAGTGTTTTCTCACCGGACACTCACTTCGGCACTTTATATACAACCAACCAACCAAAAAATGAAACAGAGATTTTATCTGCTGAGATAAAGCTGAAAAATTACGTAAAAGGTCGCACGCACTGACTGCCCGAAAACCAGTCGTATTACTTCTATTAGATATACGTTATTAATGTTGGTGTCAATTATTCATTAACCAAGAAAAAAAAAAGAAACAAAAGAAGGAAAAAATCAGAAAATTCTTCCTCTTTAAAATGTATCTAAATTTATGTCCCCCGATAAAGCGACAGGTATATACTGCATATTATTAATTGACAGCAGTTAATACGCAACAGATATGTTCGAACAGTAAACAACCGTTGTTTCATACAGTCAAAACAACGGCAGCAATCAAAACGATAATTACCAACATCAGCATCAATGATGACGACAGTAACGGCGACGTCGACGACGGTAACAACAGCAACAGCGACAAGAACAACAAGAACGGCAACAACAACTACAACAACAGCGACATCATCGACGTCGGTGTTGCCGTACAGTGTTGGAGTTTTTGCTTAAGTCCAAGTTGTCCTAGTTGACCGTTTGTAGACTTTAGGTATCCAAATATGATATGTTAAAGGAAAACGATGATTTCATTGTTTCTGTCAGCGCATCAAATTTGTTAATTTGGAATGTTTTAAGTGATCGAAGGGATCGGTACGGTATGGAACGACTGAGTGTGTTATTGGAAGAAAATGTACAGACAGAGATGATCAGAGATGAGAGAATTACGCAACCAGAGGGGGGTGCAAAACCCCAAGAAGGAATTGTCAATGACCCCCAAACTGATTAGGCCATAACGTTGTTGCACCGCAAGGCCTTCATTACTTGTCGGCTTCGGAGCGATGTGTTGCCGTCGTAACATCCAACATCCAATTCTCCTACTTCTGTTTTATATCCTTCTAACCTATTCATCCGTCAATTCACAGTCTATACGTAAGTATCTATAGTAAAAAAAAAAAAATTTTTTTGCCCTTTTTTTAAAAATTATTCTTGTTCTTTCCTCCTTTTTTTTGTCATTTTTTCCTTCTATAAACTTATCACACTCTATTCCTGTTGCCTTTAGTTAATAGAATAATTAATTGAAAATTCAATGTTTAGATGAACAGCACCATTAGCTATTTACTAGTTAGCTAGAACTGATAGTGCCAGTCGCTGACGATTAGAAGTTATAGAATCAAAAGCAGTAGAACATTAAATTACTGGTGGTCTTGTTTTTTTATATATGCATTGAAAAAAGATACAAAAAACTGTCCTTAGACAGTGGAAATAAATAAAACGACTGAAAATAAATTTTTGAAACATTAGAACTACCGCTAGAACAGACTTCAATTGCTGCTTATTGTCGAACAGTGTTGTCATTTGCTTTGTTCAAGAACTATTCCTTCTCTGATTGGCTGTTTGCTTTTTTTCTACCAGTTACGGTAATTTCAATTACCAGTTATCTTTTTCGCATTTTCCGGAAAAAAACATATAGTCTAAGCTTAAAGTGTTAATTTTTAAGTTATCAACTGTACATTGTCTTATTGTCTACACAGTTTAAGTTCGTTTTCATCTTTGTCAAGTTGAAATATCAGAAAAACAATTATTAGATTCTTGTTGGGTGTCAGTAGTTATCTGTCAGTGCCTCAAACAGTATTTGCAAATAAATTTCAAAGTTAAACTGATTAAAGGAGCTAATAAAAAAGAAAAGTAGAAGATGTAAAGTTACATTAATGTAAAAATTTTGTCTGTTTGTTTCTCGCCTTTTTTTTTTTTTGGTTTTGCTCATCGTTTTTTTGAATACTGCCACAAAATTTTATAGAGGAAGAGATTCATTTTATGGATTTAGCAATAACATAGCGATAGGAGCAGAAAAAAAAACAAATATGTTATTGAATAAGAGATTTTCTATGAGGTATATGTGCATGTTGAGCGGAAAAAAGCCAAGGAGAGAAGGATAGAAGAAAGAGTGAAGGAAAGAAAGAAATAAGAGATGATTGGGATGCAATTAAAAGATCTGAAAGAAAAAAAAAATTCTTGACTTTTTTTTTTTATTTTGCATTAAAGAATTACAGTTTGCCTAACCAAAAATTTAAAGTAATAGAAAAATTGAAAAGGAATAAGAACTGTATATACTGTTTGGTTTATTTCGTTTTTTTGTCTTCCTCTTTCGTCCTCCTTAACTGCATAGCTTTTTTTTGCTTTTTGTGTAACTTTTTTTTAGTTGCCATCTGCTCTGAGATTTAAGTCTTAAATAATTCCCACTACTTTTTTTTCACTTTTATTTATTCACTTATTCATTTATCCTTTTTTTTTTTTTTTTAAAGGTGAGGATTTCAAACTGCATAGCACCTTTTTTTTTTACAGTTGTTTATTTATCTAAAAAAATTTTTATTTGTCATTCCAGTTTCCTTTTCCTTAGTTTATATTTTGCTCTGAAAATGGCAAAAAGTATTTGTTTAGAAATTTAAACCATGTTTCTAGGCTATAATAGTGATTGTTTATTGTTTTTTTTTGCTTGTTCTATTTGTTAAATTCTGTTTAAGCAACGTTCAAAGAGTGTTCGGAAGAGGAATCGACAATTTTTATCCTACAGCACAATGCCACTGCCAGCAAAGTGCATAAACTGATTCGTACAACCACACTGCTCGAATGTACCGACAGCTGCGCTTCGTCCACTGTAAGATTCAGTCAATGAACAAGTTTCCGAGATTTCAGTATATAGCTGTTGTGGTCATTAACAAATTTCAGTAGATTAAACGGAAAGAAGGGAAAAAAAATTACAGAAGAGGAAGGAAGTGAAGAAAAGGGAAGGGGAGAGGGGAGGTGAACTGAAAATTAAAGTGAATGAAAAGTTTTTTTGTTTTCTTTTGTTATTGTTGTTGCTTAGTGGATATAGTAGAAGGAAAATTTCTGTCACCTATTTTACTTGTAAATTAAAAATACAGCTTTTTTTTCTCTTTACTTTGCTTTTACTTTTGAATATTGTTTTGTGTTGACTAAAAAGTAAGCCTATCTATCTGCTTCTTTTTTCGGTGTTTATTCATCATTGCTTAAGGTAATTATTAGTTGGATATAGTCAGACAAAATCTGAGTAAGTTGAATCGTTAGTGGCAGTATGTTTTATTTGCTTAATTTTTTCTCATTTCTTCAAACATAAACTTTTGTGACACAAATCTTTCATTCACTATTACTCTTTTTTAATGACCATTCAGCAATGATTCCTTTTCTTTTGCCTTCTTTTGGCTTCTTTTCCTACGTTGTTTTGTTGTATTAAATGAGACTCAGATAAAAAAAAATGCAGAACAAATAAGTTTGACTGACTGATTGGTTGATTGATTGACTGATTGATTGATTGATTTTATTGATCTAGCACTACTTTTTTTCGCTTATTTATTTTATTAAATTTTTTAAAAATTTAATCATCTCATTATTGGTGTTGTTGTTGTTGTTGTTGTCAGATATTTATTGTTTATTATCGTTGAAGGATTGTGTTGGTGTAGTATATGAGAACACAAACTGTAAGTTGTTGTCGGCAGTTGGCGAAAATGGTGAAATCAGCGACCCGATTCTCACAAAAATCTGTGTTAAAGTGCGTTTATAAAAGTTTTAAGGAGTTTAAGAAGGAAGGAAGGAAGAAAAAAAAAATTGGTTTTTTGAATTACAAAAAAATTTTTCTTTTTCTCCTTCTTTCATTTCTTTCTTTATTTCTTTCTTTTTTGACACTAAACAGCCCTTAAATTTTTTTTTTTTGTAACATCCATTCTTATCCATAGTGTTTTTTTTTTTTTTTTTTCAGAGCGCGCAAATTTGCTCATCGCCATTCCAGTTCGATGTACATGAACAAAAAATTCTTGTTGGTTTTGCAAGAGAGGTAAGGATGAATATGCGGCATTTTTTTGTCTCAGTGTTCTTGTTGTTTTTGGCATTTTTATTTTATTTTATTCATTTTTTTGTTTGGCTTTGTTTTGTTTTGTTTGTTTAATAACTGTACTTTTTTTTTCTTTGTTTGATGCCTCTTTACTGCTATAATTGTTTATGGAGGGTGGAAAAAGAGGAAAAGAGAAGATGACAAATTTTTAAGTATCATAGGAATACCTATTTTTAAAAAAAAGACACTAAAAAAATTCTCAAATTTTTTTTCTTTTCTTTTGTCTATTTTCTCCTTCTGTCTCTGTTTCAATAACAACATTATGTTGGTTATTGCTCCTAATTAATCACAGTTTTGGTTGAACTTTTCAAAGAACCCACTAAACCCCTATTGTACTCCAGAAAAAAAAATAAACCAATTTTTTTAACAACTTCTACTTTTTTATGATTGGTGATACGAAGTGTTGAAAAAAAATTTTTTTGTTTTACTGTAGGTTGTGTCGGCGGATTCCTTATCAATCTGTTTGGCCGCCTGTTTAAATGCTTTTGATACATTTGGATTTGAATGTGAATCGGTTATGTATTATCCGGTGGATTCAGAATGTATACTGAATACCGAAGATCGTTTAGATCGTCCAGATTTATTCATTGATGAACTGGAGGACAACGTCATTTATTTGGACAATAACTGCGCCGGATGTGCGTTAGATTCATTAAATATATATATTCTTTTTTTAGAACTTTTTTCTTCAGAAGCTTTTCCTCACCGTATTTTAAAGCATCTTCGTCATCATCGTTTTCCTTTCCTTTTTTAAAAAACAACGATTCTTCTGTTATAGAAAAAAACTAATTGCCTTTTGGTTTTTTTTCTTTTTTTTTTCTCGTTTTTCACGAGTTTTATCATTGGAACTAACTATTATCATCAGATACTTCAAACGCATAACTTAAGGTATGGTTACTGTAGAAAAAAATGCTATCTATTGTTAAGTGAGAATTAGAGTCGAAATGATTGAAGATAAAAGTTAAATATTTGTAGGGATATGGAAAAAAAATTTATTTTTGGGCATTTTTAGCACAGTGCTATGCGCCGTATGTTACTCAGTACATTGCTCTGGAAGGAAAACAACTAGCTGACGAGCTTGACCTCAGGTTCAATGTTGATCTGGAAACGTGTGAATCGCTTTGCACGCAAAGGCTATCCACAACTGTACGTTGTTGTTTTTCAATATTTCTACTTCTACGACAAAAAAGCGACAAAAAAAAGCAGAAAAATATGTAAAAAATTTTATGGAATAGTAGTAAAAAAAAAAAAAAGTGGGAAATGAATGTGTATATTTATCGCATCGCATAGTACGCAATCTTTTATTGAAGATTTAATCAGTTGAAGAAGTTTTTATTTTATTACCGGTGTCATTTTCTTACTGACTAAACTCGTTTGACCCGATTGAGTTACACCCTTACCATCTTTCTTTTAAAAAGGTACAGTAATTTTATACTAAAATATCAGGCAATAAACTGCTAAACTGGTGATAACTCACAAATGAATATTTTGTTCAACACCAAATATTTAGGCAAATGATTTCAACTGCAAGTCATTTATGCATAACCCAAAAACTAACACCTGTATCCTTTCTGATGAGCGTTCAAAACCTTTGGGCCGAGCTGCGCTAATTGACGCTGAAGGTTTCACGTACTACGAGAAGAAATGCTTCGCTTGTAAGTTGATTCACCTTTGCGCTCATTTCTTCATTTCCTGATTACCCACTTTTCACTCTACATCATTTTAAAAATGTTCTTCAAATCACCATAAACTTTTTCGACCAATTTTCCACCGAAAAAAAAAAAAGAAAAAGAGGTGAAATAAAAGGAAAGAGGGCTTTCCTTTGGGTGTTACACAATGAAGATAAGTGTGAACAATTTATTGGTTGTAAAAAGAGCGATTAATCGCTGAAGTTTGATGGTATGACAAATAACTGTTTAGCACCGCGAACGTGCCGTAACATTCCGGCATTCAATCGTGTTCCAAAAATGATCCTTGTCGGTTTCGCAGCATTTGTCATGGAAAATGTTCCGTCAGTGACAATGTGTCTTGATCAATGTACAAAGTATGTTGTTATTTGCACCTTTTCACGTTGAGCTTGGTGAGTCATAAAACAGTCTTTGTGGGGACATAAGAAAAAGAAAATTCCTGGTTGATTTTAAAAAAACCGGTGAAATTTGATCAGAATATGTTTAGTCCACCACCGGAAACAGATGACTTCGTTTGCAAATCTGTTATGTATTACTATAATGAACAAGAATGCATCTTGAATGCAGAAACAAGACACACAAAACCAGACCTGTTCATTCCAGAAGGCGATGAATTCCAAGTACATAAGTTCCGCTGCATATTTTTTTGCTTGACTACCGAATAAATTTTTATAGAAAATGAGTGCTGAAAATTATAGGTTGATTATTTTGACATAACGTGCCAGTTGGGAAAAGAACAGTGTCCAGAAGGAACGTCGCTTCGTTCAATCAGGACCATCAATGCAGCGCTACCCGAGGGAGAAGGTTCACTTCATGTTCTTCAGGCTGCTGGTAACTCAGTTGGAGAATGTTTAATCAAGTAAGCAAGAGAATCCACTCATCGTAACATCTTTACTGGTATATTAATTTGATGCTTTGGACCACAACTTCGGTTTATTTTTCCAATGATTAGAAGTTTAATGTAACTTTAGTTGTTTGCTATTTGAGCCCTTCAACAATACAGGTGCTTTGAACTTGCTCCGGAGAAATGTAGATCGTTTAATTATCACAAACAAACCTCAGAGTGCGACCTTCTTTACGTAGATGGTAAAACAACACTACGTCCAGAAGTCAGAGCAGCAGTAGACTCTTATGACGTGCATTGCCTTTCTGGTTGGTGTCATTTACACCACTTTGTCTTTAGTGTCACACTACTTTTAAATAATTCTGTGGTCTATAGCTAATGACAGTGGCAGTGCTGATGCTGCACTATAAAAAAGTACTGTTCAAACGCTGTTGTCGCCAAAAATAATAAGAATTGAGTTTAGCAAGACCCGATTGTTCCCTTAACAAAGACGGTGCGATATATTCACGATACTTGTATACTAAGCAAACTGGCCTTCCAACAGAGCAGTATGAAAGCTTAGCACTAAATAAGTGTCTTGACTTATGTTCTAAATCTCAAAGGTATATCTGTTAAAAATTTAGCTAATTTTTTATAGAAAATTTTTTTTCTTTTGTACACTTTGTATAAAAATGAAATTATTTCGCGTCACAAACGAGAAATGGTATTTTGTGATTTTAGGTGCGAAGGTGTAAATTATAACAGAAGAAATGGACACTGCAGTCTTTTTGAACAAATCGATGGTAGTGGAGATCAAAATGATTTTGTAGATTTCTATAAAAATCTTTGCCTCTTAAAAGAACCTGATTCTGGATACAGTGCTGCATCAAACGTTCCAAAACAACTTCGTAACGGAACTGTACCGCATAAAAGTGATACTAGGGCTGAGGTTCTGGGGACAAATAAGGTTTATACAGTCGAAGTTGTCATTTAATATTGTCATAAACAAAGGCTTTCAAGTATTATCTTTGGTGAACAGTTCGTTACAGCAGGTAGATGCTTTCTTACAGGCTAAACCAGCAACAACTATACGTGATCAGGAAGAACCGAAAAAGATTCCGGAACCTGAAGACGAAGGAAGCAAGCATCCATTCATCAAGCATCCTAAAGCCGAAGGAACTCTTACATTGTCGGCTAAAGTTCCATCACCGCCAGTATTGGTTCCTGCTGAGGCAGTACGAACAATCTGTAATTACGAAGGTATCAAGGTTCAGGTACGACTTGCTTACAGTTGACCATTCTTCAAATCAGTTCTTACAGTAAGGAGGCTGTTGCACATGAAATAAGAGGAAAAATCGTTGTAGTTCTAAAGTTGCCGGAATTTTCAGGTCAGAAATAAAGAGTCGTTCAGCGGAGTAATGTTTGTGAAAAACAAGTACGATACATGCCGTGTTGAAGTGTCGGATAGCGACAGTGCAGTATTGGTACTGGGTTTACCACCAGATTTTGGAGCCAGGATGGTTGAGACCGAGGTAGTTGAGGCAAAGAATAAGACGGTTAAGGAAGAGAAACCAGTTGAGGATTTGCGTTCGAAAAGGCAGCTGGAAGAAACCACTCACGACTGTGGCATCGTTGACATGGTAATTTTTTTTGTTTAATTGCAGAACTGCTTGTGCTTGATTTGTCTGGAAGAAAAAATCATTTCCCTCCAGATGAATGGCACATACAAATCGACGGTTGTTGTACAGACTAATAATTTGGGCATTCCTGGATTGGTAACTTCAATGGATCAAATTTATGAAGTCAGTTGCGACTACAGTTCCATGTTGGGTGGAAAGGTTATGACCGGTGCTAACTTGTCAGTACAGTAAGTTCTAATCTGCTTGAGCAGTGGACTATTTTATTTTCAAATGAAACCTATAAGGGCGCGCATTTTCAGTGGTCCAGAAGCAACCCTGATTCAACCTCGTGGGAAAATCGAGCTGGGCAACCCGGTGATGATGCAACTGCTCAACGGCAACGGGGAACATCAGCCTGTTTTACAAGTCAGTGTTTTTAGCAATTGATTTTGTTTATTAAACTTAATTTTTTGTGTTTTTTAACGTGGTCAGTTGTGTAATTATCGGAAAATAAAAATATAATGATTATCAGAACATCTCACTGTATTTTTTATAGGCAAAACTTGGTGATGTTCTCGAATTACGATGGGAAATGGTAGCCATGGACGAAGAGTTGGACTTCTTTGTACGGGAGTGCTTCGCGCAACCTGGTGGAAATAGTGCTGTGCAAGACAAACTGCAGCTTATTGCGGATGGGTAAGTACCCTTTGTTGGTAAGCCTAAACGGCGATTTCTTAGTGTTCCTTTGAAGCAGCAGTACTCACTGCTTTTAGCACTTTAACACTTTTTCAATTTAGGTGCCCAACTCCGGCAGTTGCTCAAAAACTTATTCCTGGGCCTGTCGAAATTCTTTCATCAGCTGTTAAAAGTGCAAAGATACAAGCCTTCCGATTTGACTCCTCTAATACTGTAAGGCTCACCTGCCATCTCGATATTTGCAAAGGAAAATGTAAGGAGGTAAGGGATGCAATGAATTTATAGTGTAACGGCACTTTGCGCCGTCTGCTAATTCTAATTATTTGGTCTGAAGGGAAGGCAATATGGGCATTGAGCAGCTCTAAAAATAGCCTTTTCAGGCTCAATGTGACTTCAGCGGTTCAACTGCGAGGAGTTGGGGACGAAAAAAGAGGAGTGAAAATTCAGTCCTTGAATGTACGTTTTAACTTGCATCACCCTCCATTAAAACGATGGAAAAATTTCTGCCTCTTAATACTTACAATTCACAGTATTTAAAATCCAATTAATTATAGTTGAAACAGAGCGTTATAAAGTACCACGTCACGCTCAAGCAACCACCTCGTTACTGGTAATTGACCCTCTACAACAAATCAATGAACCAGTTGCTTTAGCTCGATCTCAGAATTTTGAAGTTGCTCGTGAGGTAGACGAAAATCTAATTGGAAATTACATATCCATCAAATCAGTCTAATTTTTTAATTTTTTCAACAAGAATATATTTTGTCTAAAGTTATTTGGTAACCAGTCATCAATATTTCTCTTACACCAGTGAGTGTTAGCTTACGCTAGGTAATTTTACCTTTTCAGACACCTTCAATGAGTGTAACTTCCGTTTCCGGACAGATGTGTATGGAAAAGTCAACAATTCTGTCAGTATTTGGTATTTTATTTGCTCTAACAGTGATTCAAGCAATTGTGGTGTCGCAGTACGTATTCCGGAGGTTAATATTACATCAGAAAACCGTAGAATAAGCAGCATATTTGCACGCAGGGAATGTATACATCTCAACTGCCTAATTTATTTACTGTATTTTTGTTTTGAGGATCCATTCAAAGCAAATTTCCTAATAACACTGAACCTTAGGTAATTATAATTTACATGACAACAGTCATTTAATCCATTATATTTATATTTATAAAAAATCTTTTTAAATGATTTATCTGTGAACAACAGTACCTATAATTTCAAAAAAAAGACAGGTTTTTTGTGGTAGAGCATTTCATATAGAAAAAAAAGAACACATAATTTGATTTTAATTAATTCGTTCATTGTTCGAACGCTATAAGACAAAAAAAAAAGCAGTATTTGTAAAACAACTCGCTTTTGTGAAATGGTAAAGATATTTTGCAATTATGCAACTATCGGGTGTACTGCCTATAAACTGATACGTGTTTATGATTTTTTTGAAATGCCTTTAATTTCTCATTTTTTTGTTTTCCATTTTTTTCTTATTGCCCTCTTTTTTTGTTTTTACAATTGCTTTGTTTGCCAAGTGATACATTCCATTTATTATCTGTAATTTAAGTAATTAAGTGATAATACTTGTTGAATCAAACTTAATGACTGTGAAGATGCTCAATTTTTTTAAATAAAAGTTTAAAAAAACTGATCTTTCATATTCTTCATTTCTATTCAACTTCAAGCCTGGTCAGACAATAAAGAATCTTTCGACAAAGTCAAGGAACTTTGGGTCGCTAAAACGTCTTTTAAGTTTTGGATGAGTACCTTCAAATTCCTGTAAGCCCACTGCTATATTCCATAAGTTTCTCCAGTAAACTGTTTCCAAAGCCTTCTCCTCTCTTCAGCAAAACTTCAATATTTGCTGGTGCCACCACAATTTTATTACAAACATTCATTCCAAGGAACCCTACAGCGGTTTTTCAAAATTCTAGTTATTTCGTTAACTCTCCGCTGCTTAGAAATAATCCTGCAAAAAAAATAATTCCCACCCAGCAAAACACTATAGGGACTAAGTCGCAGCAGTTGCTACACTAGGATGCTCCTGTCATCCTCGAAAGGCCTAATAACTCGTACTCAAAATATCGACTGGCAGGAAGACTACTGTAGAAATACATAAATTACTAAAAAACAGGCGCCGACGTAACCAGCTTTGAGAATTTCGTCCGCGCGACAAATTGAACAACAGTAAACAGTGACTCCTCACACTCGATTATAGCCGCTTTACCGACTGAAATCATTTTGTTGAACGAAATGCCTACCCGAAGTGTAGTCCCATACCGAGAAAGCCCAAAAAAGTATAATCTCGTAGAATGAAAATGATGAAAGACCTCCAAAAAAACTCATAAAAGATTCAGGAGCTAAAGCCAAAGACTTGAAGACTTATAAACTTGAAATTCATTGTAAAATCTATGTCACAACAATGTAGCTTTTATGGAGTACCCTAAACTTGAGCCATTTCTCCAAAAGCCAAACAAAGGCACGACAAAATTAACAACAAAACAGTATAACAAAACAACAACATACAGTACATTTGCAACATTATGTTATCCAAGCGCAAAAACTCTTTTGCAATATTAATTTACATCTTTTCGTTGAAACTAAATCACACTCTATACACAAACAAACTACCGACTCTATAGTCTCTTGAAAAGTTCATAGAAATCTGCGACCAGAAAAGCAAATGACACCTTCCAGTGGAAAAATATAAGTCTCAGTGACTCAAAAAAAAAAGCTTAAAAAATATCCAAATATTTTTAAACAACTAGTAACTGAACAAAGCCACCAAGCCATCAGCACCTGCAGTAACCAACCATGGCTGTGACGGATGAAATACTACGCTAAGCACTGACAAACCGTTTATGGAGTTATGTCCTATTAAGCGTTTAACTGGTACTAGTTCGTTATCTTTTTGAAGATCTGTGGTTACTCGAGCATAATATACAAGTACCGAACAGTCATCCGAAGCAGTTGCAAGCAGTGGATACCTGAAACCGTTTGTGTATATGTCAATCACCGTCAACAAATTATGTACTTCATAATACTCTCAGACAATGTATAAATTTTTGTTTGAAAAAAGTAAGTAAGTAAGCACTTTTGGTGTCGAGCTATTGATCTGACTGCAGCTCGATGATGTCGGAAGCTTTTCCACGGCTTATTAGACAAGTCTAGGTCCACCCAAGAAAAAACTCGATCTAATCCTCCAAGGAATAAATTGGCACCATAAATATCTATAGTCATACAGCTGAGCCACCGTGAACCAGTCATAACTTTTTTGACAAGCTGACACTTCTTTAAATCATATATCCGAACATATTGACGGGTAGACACGAAAAAGTGTGGTAGGGTGGGATGAAACATAACGCCTGTCACCACACCCTTTATTCTAGCAAATGGAGCCTAAAAAAGTAAGCTGAGAGGAAACTGCGAGGAAATGAAAAACAAATACAATATGAGCAACCGGTAAACTCTTTTAAGCTATACATCCATCACTCAGCTAATAAACAGAAAAGTTTATTCAATTTGAAAACGCTCAAGCAAAAAAGTACCACATTTTCTAAACTTCTTCCATTAACGTGGTATCTTGGAAAATAAGAACAAAAAAATCAGTTGAAATTTAGAAAAATATTTTTAAAAGATTTGCCAACAAAATAATACCGTATCCTTTAAGTTAAGTGAAATTATTTCAAATAATAAGTTGGAAACAGAAAACTTTAAATGTTTACTAATGACTAGCTCAGAAACACGTCTGAAAAAAAGAGGTTGTGAAACAAACTTGAGATTTGCACGTAGGAACGTGATGAATACAAACAGCATTAGAACCACATTCAGGAGCAAAAGTGGCAAAATAATTTCCGTTTGCATGCCAGATTACCTGTTTTGCTGCCTGAAATAAAATACCATAAACTGGAAACTATACTTAATGCTTTAAAAAATCAAAAAGAACTGATAATTCAACAAAGAAATTTAAATAAAAGAACAAAAACTTTTATAAAACAGTTACTTACGTGCGTTAAACCAATCAAAATACTATTGACGCCTTTAGTGTCACGACTCCACTCTAAAGAGCTTTCACCAGCACTTTGTTCAACGTCAAGTTCATCAAGAAATCGCTGAGTATTTCTAACACAACTTTTGTCACCTTCGCCAGCATTAACTAGGAAAATTTTCTTTGCCTCAACTGTCACAGCAATTAACGTCCGCTCCTTATTTGGTCCGTAAGCTACGCAATTAACACTACTGTCGAAGTATATAATCTGTAAAATTAAAAATTCAAAAACACCGAAAATAACACATTGCAACAATCATCTAAATAAACCCACTACCACAAAAATATTCACCAAACTGGCTCAGGTTCTTTTAAACAACTGCAAATATTAAAAAGTAGACTTTTTATAAATTAAATACAGTGAGTTCAAACCTTGACACACCGTCCTGAGGATACAGACCATATACGTAAAGTGCAATCTTCCCCACCAGATGCAAGAAGTTCGCCGCATGAAGGTTCAAAAGACAGACTTCGCACCTGTCCTTTATGACCACGCATGTACTAAAAAAAATTTCAAAGCGCTTAGACGAACGATACAAAGTGTATCAGCAATTCCATTCGAAGAAAACACTCACGAATGCCAACGTAGTAGGAAAAGGCCTTAGATCTTGAGGATCCGGTAATTTCGGTAAAAGCTCAGATGGATCAACATTCAACTGAAAAAATCATGAATTTTAAGAGTTTCACCTTCCAAATGCATTGTCCATTTGTTGGTGGGCGGTAGGCTAATGATAAAAAAGGAAAAAGTACTTCGCCTAAACCTCAGTACCTTTATCTTTTGTTTTCGTGGAGCCAGATATAAGTCAAGACACCTATCGAATCTTTCGTTATAAAACCTGTCATAACTAGGTACTTTACGATAGCAATCGTATTTTTGAGGAATAAAATTAATGCGACGATCTTCGGGTTCAGTCTCCTAAAATATCACTTTACTCAATCCCTACAATTCCAGGATATATCACTCACAAATAGCAATAATACCCCATCCTTTCCGCTTGATTTAATAGGCTCACCTCATACTTCCTTAACTCATCCTCATCAAAAAGATATTCAGCAGGAGGGTTGTAGCTTTCAGCATGTCCTGGCAGACCGACCTTTGGAGCAGCAAAATGCATTCGTAGTCTTGCTAATTCGCTCTTTGTCTTGGGACCCTCGCTTTCCTCTGCCCAGATGTCAGAAACCTGTAATAATGAATGTTTATTAAGCTACAAACCTTACTTCAACAAATTAATTTTAAATACCTGTTTCTTCTCTGACTTTGCCACTTTCGGTTTCATCCAACCCATCTTGATAGAGTACACCATTCTATCTACAAAAAATTTTTCCCATGTAACATTCTTACAAAAAGAATTCTCCATACATTGTAAACTACTGTACAGAAAAGCCAAAAAACTAAAAAATTCACAACTAACCGACGAGTTTTGCTTCACTCTTCGATGGAAGAAATGAACTTTTCGAAAGGGGACGATTCGACATGGGATGTATTTCGGTCTGTGAGGAGAAAATTTCATAAAACGGTTCATATGGATCGTAACCAGGAGCATACTTGAAAGATCCTATTGACAACAACTGCTCCACTTGTTCATCATTAAGTTTAACATATTCTCCTGTATCGCGATCAAAAACTTTCCTCCTATAATGCTGTGAACTTAGTTATAGCCCAATTAACTAAAAAACCAGCAAAATTTCAAAATTTCTATTTATTATTTTTTGAAAACAAATAATTATTTCTACTACATACACGAGTTTGAAAAAGAATTTGTTTTTTGGTGTGAATGCGAACTATTGAGCGCTTGTATCAGTCATACTATTTCGTAAAAAAGAGCTCCAATTCAGGAAAAATATGCGTAGTAAAACGAACCAGTAGTCAGGGTCTTCAACTTTTTCAAGGAAAAGGTCTATCTCATCTTTTTTAGGTTTCTTCATTATTTGATTTCCGTCCCTGTCATACCCGATATGGATGCAATCAGCATACCAAGACAACGGGATGTTACCCACCGTGTTTCTCGGACCCTACAAAGTAAACCAGAACTTAAGAACTAAGAAACGGAAAAAAATAGAAATAAAATTGCACGAACCAAGAAGCCTAAATATACAGAAGATGATATGGTACTAGAAGAAAGGACGCGAGGAAATCTGCACCTCACTTCTGCCAAATAATTTGCAAAATTTTAAAAGACCTCTTCATCGCTGGAATCAAAGTCATCAATTTGTCGAGCTGATTTCACAGTCTCAGGCTCTTTTGAAGACACCTCTTTCACTGCTCTGCTTCGCTTGGCCATAGTGATATGACAAGAGCCTTGAAGCTAATCACTTTTTTACAAACAACAAAGTTTTAACTAAAATTTTTTACCGGTAATTTAATACCCATCAGGCAAGCACTACTACAATGATCATAGCACTACAGCACAAGTGATTTTAAATGAGCATTTGAGAAGCTGAACCCAGAAGAAGCAAAATAAAATGCACAGCCGAAGCAAAGTAAAAACGTAATGCAAAATCTATTCCTTACGGTTCAATAAATTCCAGTTATAATTTAACCATCACTTACAATTTTGAGAAGAACCAATTTCCTGATCCTTCCTTTTGCTTTTAATGGAAAAAAAATGTACTTCTTCCAAAGAGGATGGTTTGAAAACTACAAACAGTTATAAAAAGTGATACAAAACCAAAAGTTACCTGGCAGTGTAAAAGAGTCGCCTACTAACCGATTCTTCAATACAAGATGTTGAAGCTTCCCCAGAAAAACCTAAAAAAAAATGAGGAAGTTAAGAGATTTTTAAGTTATGAGAATATGGAGAAATTGCAAACTGTAGTGATTTTAAATGAAAATCGTCAACGTTTAGATCGCATTCATGGTATATAAGCAAACGCATTAACATTTTATGGTATTTCACAAAAATCAACCTATCAAAACTCCATTTAAATGAAGAACTTTTAATTTAGGGTCGCAAAACAGTAGCAATATCAGATATATATATATATATATATATATATATATATA